TGCACCTCTGCATTCCCCAGTGCCTCTGTACTTTGTGAAAGCTGAGGCTTTCCCACCTCTCTAATGTTGTCCACATCCTGGAATGCAATCCCTCCTCAGATCCCCTTCTCTTCCTCAAATGTCCTTTCCTCCATGAAGACTCTTCTAATTTTCTTTGGCAGCAGCTTTGCCTTTGCCTTTTTGAGCCCCTGAAGCACCTTCTTGGTAGGGATTCGATTATTGCCGTTCTGTTGGTGGTTATTTGTGTGTGTTACTCACATTCCCCTCTCTTAAGCTTCCAGTTCCCTGAATTTATGTTTTCTTCATCTTGGCATCTTTTAAAGCACAGGTCTAGGCACTTCATATGTCCTCACTAAGTGATAAATAGATAGATAAATGGACTGGTGAGTGCATGGGTGAATGATGAATGGATGCTTAGTTGGATGGTGAATGAATGGATAGTTGATTAGGTAGATGAATGGATATACACATACACACAGAGAAAGATAAATGAATGAAAATGAGTATGGATGGATGGACAGTTGGATGGACGAAACAGCTCTTCTCTACAAGGACTCATAAAAGGTTAAGTAGTACAAGGGGCTTCAAGGGAGGGAGCTCACCCCATGCCAGGAGAGGCAGAGGAGGGAAGAACATAGACACTGAGCTTTCCTTCACTAAAATATATGTTCTTAGCAACTTGTCTCCCAGAGGCCTAGGCATATTTCCATTCCGTAGAAGGCATATAGTCTGGGAGTTATTCCTTTCTTCAAGTTCCCCTGACCCTTAGGGAATGCTTCCATTAACATACACTATGCTGTATGACCGTGTGTTTTTTTTCTTTGATGTCCTTTCCTCTATCATATACACATCATGCACTGTGAGCTTCCTGATGACATAAAGCATCCCCAAGTCTTTTCTCTTCCATGTCCCTAGGATGTGGCATACATAATTTATGGAGTGGAAGTTGATTCTTTTCCCCATAAACAGACATTGCACACTCCCTATTTTGTCATGTTCAGTAATCTCTCTCGGTCCTCTCCTCCTCACACACATACATACTCATACTCTAACCCCAGAACCTCTCCAAAGTCCCAGAGTCTATGGCCTGGATGCTGGTTCTAGGCTCTCTTAAGAGTCAGAAAAAGGGAGAGGGCTCCCAGCTCTTCTACAACCATAGTAACTAGGCCCTATGTGCAGCAGAAAGGGGCTTCCCTGGGAGGGTAGTAGGGTCCTGGGCTAACCTGTGGTCTTCTACCCCAACCTGACCACATCCCAGATCTACTGGCCCTACTTCTGACAAGATGGGGGATGGTTGTGGCCTCATTTCAAGGCTGACTGACTGGCAGACACCGCCAGATTTAGAAGTCATTTTCGCAGCAGGGAGCCTCCAACCTCCCACCCACAGGGCCCTTCAGGGCCAGTCTGAGATATGGCTAACCAGGACTTGGCCCCTAGACCTCCTCCTCTTTTTCGCTCTGTCCCTTTTTAGCAGGTAGTGTAGTCTCCATTCATAGGAAAGATGGAGGAAGTCCTGGGGTAGGGGAGGGAGTGGAGGTGAGGAGTATGTGGCTTTGATACTTTAACCACCTTAAGGTCAGCGGTTCGAAACTACCAGCGCGCTCCGCGGGAGAAAGATGAGGCTTTCTACTCCCGTAAAGATTTACACCCTCGGAAACCCTATACAGGGTCGCTATGGGTCGGAACCGACTCGACGGCACTTAACAACAACAACAAAGCTTCCAGTACAACATTCACCCATACTCCTCTCCACCTGGTCTCTATTGCCTGTTTCTTCTCCTTTCTTCCTCTACTCCTCCTCCTCCTTGTCCTCCTACCACACATCCCCAACACCAATGAAAGAGAACTAATAATTATAGCCAATATGTGTATCTGTGTGCCAGGTACTGTTCTAACTGCTTTACACATTGACTAATAACCCTATAAAAAAAAGCACTATAATAACCTCATTTTTATCATTGAAGACACCGAGACACAGAGAGGCTAAGTAATTTGCTCAAGGTCACACAGCTAGTATAAGGTAGAACCAGATGTGAATCTAGGCAGCCAGACCTCAGATTTCATGCTCTAAACACAACACTACCCCAGTTCTATGCTAATGGTAGAGTGTGGGTGAGCTCTTATAAGTGGTCTCTGAGTGTACATTCTCAAAGGGGCTTAGGCAGCATGATGCTCCTACCCACAGGGCCAGCCCTTCCACTGTTACCGCTTTTACCAACACTGAGTCCTGGAGACCCTTAGTTATAGCAAATCCAGGCAGATCCTCTCACCTCTGCTGCCCAGGTTTTCCTCAATCTTCCTCCTAGCTTGAGGTCTATCCTCTTCTCAGGCCAAAATATCTAAAGCACAAACTCCTCAGTTGTCATTCCTACTTTATCTTTAGTAACTCCCCTGAACGCACCCTAAACTTCAGTCAAATCAGACCATTTGGTAAACCCCTAAACATACTCTGCTTTACCGTATCTAAGCCTTTGCTTTTGCTGTGTCCTCCACCTTGAATGCCCATTCCCCAAATTCTATCTTAGATACCACCTCCTCCATGGAACCTCAGTGCTCAATATTGTTATTATTTGTGTGCCTTCATTATCATCTCTTTTTTAGAATATAAACTGCCCCGGGCCATTGTCAGACGGGTCTTATTAACCTACGTTCTGGAGCCCAGCCCAGTACCTGATTCCTGGTAGATGCTCAGTAAATGCTTAGAAGTTAGAATTGGCTTTGTAGATGGAAGGGAGACAAACCTCGGGAACCTTTGATTCTTGCCCAAGGTGACCCCACTTCTTTTATCTCCTCTAGCAAGTGCTAACTAGAAACTTGGCTGTTAAGTTCGGGCAGATTCTGGGACAGACCTTATGGGGCGGTTCTGACCACGTTTTTCTCTCTGGTTCAGAAAAAGGAAGAGGAGCACAGCGCCCCCGCCTCCGCCCACCCCCCTACAAGTCAACCAAGGCCAGTCAGCCTCAGGTTCGGGTCAGTACGGTGGCCTCCTAGGCGGCCCTTCCCCCTCCCCCTCCAGCCCAGAAGCTCTCCCGGTTCGGGTAGGAGTGACGTCGAGATAATTGGAGACTAAAACTGTAAGTGGGCTGGGGACCTGAACATTGAGCCGGAGTTGGCGGGACCTGGTGGGGGTGGAGGCAGAGGCGGGGCCGGGGCCCGGTCAGCACCCGGAGACCGAGTCTGGGCGAAGCCCCCGCGCCCGCCGAGCCGGCGGCTAAATATACCCAGGCTGACTCAGCCCTTGCCCGGAATGGGGGGCGGGGGGGAGTGCGCCAGGGCAGTGGGAAGAGCCGGCGAGTGGGGGGGGCGGGGGGGAGAGGGGGCAAGGGAGAGTCTGAACTGGGGGAGGTGGGCAGGGAATTTCCATCAAAGAAACGAGTGGGTCCTCCTCTCCACCGCCCGGAAAAGAGCTGAAAGCACTGGGGGAGGGGCACTATGGGGAAAGGGTCGGTGAAAGGAAGAAGGTGCCAAGTCTGGAGTAAAGGGAAGTTTAGATTTATTGAGCGCCTACTGTGTGCTAGGCACTGTGCTAGGCGCTTTACATACATTATCTCATTAAATCCTCACAACAACCCTGCGAGGTAGGTGTTTATAAACCCTCATTTGACAGATGAGGAAACTGAGGCTCAAGGAGGCGAAGTGATTTAGCCAATTGCACATGGCTAACTAGTAAATGGCAGACAGAGGAGGTGTCCAAGATCGGAGAGAAAGGGTACTCAATGTCTGGGTCCCAGGCGGTTTGGCATGGGTAAGTAAGTACACAGAGGGGCTCTGCGCGCTCTCAAAGGCCTGCTCTCAATCCCGTGCGGCTGCAGGAGGCAAGGCGTGGGACCGGCGCGCATTAACTAGATATTAATTGATTAACTGACAGTCCGGTTAGTGGGAGACTTGGGGACTAGCAACCGGGGAAATCCGCGACCTGCGCGCGCCCCGCAGTGGCTACGGTGAGTATCACACCCCAAACTCAGGCTTTTGGGGACTAGCCACCCTCTTACTTTGCTCGAGGATTTCTGTAAGAGGCAGAAATGAGGGGAAATCTCAGGGTTCTTTCAGGTGGGCCAGACCACCTGGGAAGCCGTGGTAACAACGTTCCAGAGCAGCAATAAGGAACATCAGGAAGGAGGAAAAGGAGTAGGCCTTGAGAAATCGCAAGCTGAGCCGCTAGCATGCCTGCCTTCCCCAGCTCAGACTACCACAGACCAAGAACAGTCACAGGGCCATCATGCATCCTCTCCTAAAGCTGAGACTGTAATAGAAGTCCTTCAGCTACCTCCTCAGCTCTCTTGCAAACACAGGAGAGTCTCCTTAATCAGGATTGATCACAGGTGACATGGAGCCCACTCCCCTCTGGGACCCTCAAACGGTTTCTCAACTCTCTTCCTTGACTTGTAGACTCCCCAAAGACCCCCAGATGTCAGAGAAAAAAGGATGAGCCTTAGAACACCCTCATTTTACATACCAGGTGGCCTGGGGAGGGAAAATGGCCGAAGGTCACTCAGAGGGTCAATAGCAAAGTTGGGGTTGAAACCAAAGCTATGTGACACAGGTGAGCCCTCCTTCTGCTTTGATAGTGGCTTCTAGACCCCTTCTTCTTCTATCAAAAGCCTCTCTGTCATGAGGTTACTCAGTGCTCTGAGTCAGTCCCAAACCTCTCCATCTTTCTCCTGCCTACCCAGAGGCCCTGCAACTTTCTGCTTTCATAACTTACCCTGGCTAGGCCTCTCTGATCAGTTCCACAACCAGTGCATCAGCCCCTGCTAAAGATCCATGACCTCTTCACCCATGTACCCTGAATGTGGCAGGCATTAATGTCCACCACCGACTCTCACCTCTCCTGAAAAATAAATGAATGGGCAGATGGTCCCTGTTCTTCCACTTGAGCAGCTTTAACTTCCTGTATTGGGAATAGGACAAGAGAAGCAAAAGGAAGACTGTGTGAAAAAGAGAATGGGTGGGCCCACGGATGGATTGAGGGGTACAACTACAATAAGGGTCTCTCACTGTCACTCTCTGTTTCCTTGTGGAGTCTTCTTAGTGTCCCCCACCCGGAAGAGGGCCTCCTCGGTTCGACTGATGACACCAAGGATCTCCCGGATGTTGTCGCTTAGCTCCACTCTCTTCCCCGCCTCCCGGGGCCCAGTGGAGCTCCCAACTCCGGCCAGGGTTCCGTCACTCGGCCAAGAGGTGCCTGAAGCTTCTGTGTCGCTTCCGTCAGAGGAGGCACTATGGACGCTGAGTTCAGCAGCTTCATCTGAGTCCGAGTCTGGGGCGGTGTGGCGGCGGATGCGGGACACGGCTTCCCGAAGAGCCCCAGCGTAGGGCCCCGGGGTCCTCGCCCAACTGAGACCCACGCGTCGCGGGGCCACTGTCACTTCCTTGGAGCCCTCGACGCTGCCCACGCCTACCAGAGCCGCTGGGCCTAAGGTTGTGTGCTCTGGACTACTTGGCTGCGTGGGTGCGTTCCGCAGGTTCACTTCACCGACTGGAAGACCCAAGATACGGGAGGCACGCTCCTGCAGTGAGGATTCCCCTGGCTCCCCACCCTCAGCTTCACTTGCGCACCCCGAGGAGCTGGGTTGGTGTGAAAGGGGACCTCTGGGCATCAGCTTTTGGCAGGGGGAAGGAAAGGCCGTGAGCCCCTCGCCCTCCTCTTTGCCACAAGTCGGTCGACCAGGGGCATCCCCTTTAATGTGCGGCACCCCAGTCGGCAAAAGCTGCACGTGCTGGGTTCTGGGAGTCGGAACATACTGAGACCGGATCACCACGCATGTGGCGTCAATGACAAAGACACCTTCTCCACGAGTGGGGTGGCGAGAAGTTCGGGGCAGGGTGTGGGCGCGGCGGGTCACCTTCCATCCCAAGATCTCTGGTTCTGCCCGCTCTCGGTGACCCAGAGACTCTATCCAACCCGTTCCTCCGGGAGCCCAGGGTCTAGGGAGGGTCTGACTATGCCGGGGCGGTTGCTTTTTTTTAGGAGAGGGAATCCAGCGTTTGGGGAGCCAGCTCTGTTCCACACCTTCTTTCCCTTCCTTTGTACCCTTGAGGTGGGGCCTGGACCTGGGAGTGGGACACGGGGTTCTAGGAGTCGCTGGTGCAAGTCCCGCAGGAGCTGTCTCGGTGCCCGGGCTCCCTGGAGCTTTGGCTGGGGAATGGCGGTCGCTAACATTGCTCAGGCCAGCAGCAGCAAGCCCCAGGCCTTTCTCCACGGTCCCCTTGCCGAATTCCGGCCTGGCTCTAGCCACTCCAACGCTAGGGGATCCCCCCAAGAGACCCCGTCCCTGTCTGAGACCCCAACCCCCGAGGACGTCCCGGTAGATACGAGGATCCAGTGTCTTCTTTGTGAGGCCTGCCTCGGTCCTGACCGGGGTTGGGGCTGGGGCGGCGAGCGCATGGGCGAGCTCGGGGCCTCGCTTAGTCCCCAGGGTCCTGTGGGGGCCATCATAAGAAGGTGGAGCCACATAGGGTGGCGGCCGGTCCCAGCGGCGTCGCGGGGCAGTCCCGGCAGCGCCTCGTAACAGTAGATGAGCCTCATAGCTGGGGGGCCCGGGCCGCCGACCTCCCCAGGGCCCCGCCCACGCCGCCACAGGTATGCTCTGCGGCTGCGCGGATGGACGGGGCGCCCGCCCCAGCTGCCCGAGACGCTGGGGCCGCGAAGGAGCTAGAAGCCCCACAGGCTGGGCCACCCTAGGGGCGTTCCGGGGCTCTGGACGGAGCCGACCCGGGGGGCTCCTTCGGGCCCCACCAGCCTTGCGTCTCTTTCTCTCCGTCTCCTTGGCCTCCCGCTCCTGCGACGCCGCTTTCCTTTTCTCTTGCTCCCGGGCTCGGGCCTCGGCCGGGGGCCCCGCCCGCCAGTTGGTCGCCTCCTGCAGCACCCTGGAGGCCCAGGGCCGGCGGGGAGGCGGCTCAGGGGATCCCGAGCGCGGCCCACACCTGGGACAATGAGCAGGAACCCAGGTGAGCAGTTTGTAGGGGAAGGGAGCCAAAGTCCAGGGAGCTGGGAGCACCGAACAGCACTTGGGGCCGCCGTGTGGAGGGGTGTGTGTGGGGGGGGACGCGTGTGCACGTGCGTATGTGTTAGGGCTGAAGTAGAAGCGAGACTCCTCACTATCTCTCCCTGCACACTTCACCAGCGTTTGCCCCATCTCACCTCCTGCCCCTTCTCAAACCCACTCCTATGCCCCCCAAACAACACAGAATGAGTCAGGTCCCAGCTCTCAGGATGGAGTGATGGAAGGAGGCGTGGGAAAGATGAGGAGCCCCTAGCTGCGCTTGCTGATGTCTGCGAGGAGGTCCGGACCCCACTCCTCCCCCACCACTCCACTCTTCCCCTGGTCCCTCCTTCACTCACGTGCGGCTCTGGGTCCAGCGGGCCCAGTGGCTGGTCTGGGAATCCATGGGTTGTGGAGAAGGGGCGCGGCGACTATAATGACAGGAAATAGTCTTCACTTCAATCACCAGCAGCTTGGACTTCTGCACCCAGAGGCAGCTGCCAGACTCCTCATCCTGGGGCTCCCGGGGGCTGTCAGGCCCCTCGGAAAATAGCGGGCCATCCAGCATCCTGCCC